GTCCACCGCCTACTAGCGATGGCCTCCAACCTTAGGTCTTGGCCCCCGACAGCCTTGCGTTGGCCTCCAACCCAAAACCGATGGCCTTTAACCGACTATTTTCCTGCCACCTCAGGCCTTTTAAAAACTTAGGCTGGCGTGTGGCACCGCTGTCAAACCAGTACGCATATCCATAAGTGTGTGTCTGAATGCCTAGCACTCTAGTTACTAATTACTTAGCGGTTCTTAATTACGCGCAGTAGTTAGGGAGCGGGACTTTTGTCTTAAACTGCCCGGGTAGATTCGGGTAGAGTAGACCAGAACAGGGACAACAGAAGGAAAGGCACAGACACACAAGTGTGTTGTGTCGAGTACCATTTCCTTCTGTTACCCCAATTAGAGCGGGGGAATAGAGAAAAGGGGGGGGCGGCGGCGGCGCGGGGGGATACCGATCAAAAAGAAAATTGATTCCTATCAAAAAACATTAATTCATATCAAAAATAAAATTCCCCCCACTCCTTTGGTCCTGGTTTGCTGGTTCCCTGGTCGCTTGGTCCTTTGGTCCCTTTGTCCTGGTCCCTGGTCCCTTGGTCCCCCTGTGAAGCACCGTAGCAGACCTTTTATCGCCAGACGTAGCACACCTTTTTTGTGAGCCACCCTGACGGTAAAATTTAGACGAAGAAAGTGCCATTCCAAGGTAGCAAACCTTTTGTGAGCCACCTGAGGGCAAAATTTTGAAGAGGAAGGAGCCATTCCAACGTTGCAGACCTTCTGTTAGCCTTGCGAGGTTAAGACTTAGAGGAAGAAGTTGCCATTCCAACGTAGCAGGCCTTTGTTTTGTGAGCACCGAGGGTAGAACTTGCTATTCCAACGTAGCAGACCTTTCGTGAGCCATCCGGGGATAAACTTTAGGTGCCACGCCAAGGTAGCAGACCTTTTCTGACCAAAATTTAGAGGAGCAGTAGACCTTTTGTGAGCCATGCGAGGGCAAAATTTGCAGGAGCAGACCTGTTTTCAGCATAAACTTTAGAGGAGAAAGGTGCCGTTCCAACATAGCAGACCTTTTGTGAGCCATCCACACACAGGTCTTGCTGCGGTTTTGTGAGCCATCGTGAAATTCAGAGAGATCATGGTTGAGATGCAGAGAGGTCTACATCTACAAAGATCCAAAGGCCTGGAGATCCAGACAGATCTGAATCTGCAGGTGTAGCGGTCTAGAAACCCACAGACCTAAAGATGGAGGTTTAGAGGTCTTGAGTGAGTCTTGAGATCCAGGGAGGTGTTGAAATCTAAGTTCTAGGAGTCTATACTTGCAGAGGGTGTAGAAAGATGTTCAGATCCAGAGATATCAAGAGCTCTTTTCACAGGTCTTCAGATACACAGAATTTTACAAACGCCACGCAAACTGCACTACAAGGTTCGCAATCGCTGCGCTTGCCACGAAGTCTGTGCTTATAGACAGAGGTTCACGCAATCTGCGCTTCGAGGTTCACGAAGGTTCACGAAGTGCTGCATCTGCAGTTCCAGTGCACAAAGTGCTGCGCCTGCCACGAGCCCTGCAACTGAAGGTGCTCAAAGTGCTGCGTACAAAGTGCCGCTCCTGCCACGAAACCTGCTACATGGAGGTGCTCAAAGTGCTGTGCCTGCCACGAAATCTGCGCTTCCAATGCACAAAGGGCCGCACCTGCCACGAAACCTGCTGCTGGAGGTGCTCAAAGTGCTGCGCCTGCCACGAAATCTGCAGTTCCAGTGCACAAAGTGCCGCTCCTGCCACGAAACCTGCTACTGGAGGTGCTCAAAGTGCTGCGCCTGCCACGAAATCTGCGCATCCAGATTCACATCGCGCTGCGCTGCCCAGGTGGTTTGCAGTGGCACTCGCAGCTCTTTGAGAGATATTTTGTTCTTGATACAATTTTTTCTTTTTGATAGGATATAGAAATTATATATATATATATACTGATTTTCTTTTTGATAGCCCGGCCGCGGCGCGGGGGGGTTCATTCTCCGTATGCCCGGCGGCTTCGAAACACCGTAGCTCGGCAGCGTGTGGGTCCGGTGATTCACGGGTGAGACAACAACGAGCCAATAACCTGATTCACGAATGCAAGGCAGCTAAACCTCACAGGGTTCATCCAGTAAGTGATCCACGATGAAATGGATGAGGGAAACGCAAGGTGAATCAGTCCGCGCTTTTGGAATGTTGAACAATTGTTGCAATCGGCGGTCAACAAACGCGTGGCGCAGCGACACTTCAGCTGGAAAAGGGTTTAGGGGTATATCGTGCAAGGACCATGAAACAACAACCAGCGGCAGGGTGAACCATTGGAGTCAGTGCCTTGGTCAGCAAGTACGTGCATTCTGTGTCCAGAATCCATATCAGTGACTCGTAACAGCCTCTTCGTTGGACTGCCACTGTTACAAGTCAGGCAGTCCCCCCGCCGATTGAATAGGAAACAAACTCCTGGAAACGGAGGGGGGCACACACACAATCACACACACACACACACACTCGGGAGTACACTCGGGATATGGTTAGTTCGGTCTCAATGCCACATGCCGCACAGCAACCTATATAGGTCGAACAAATTGCCTAATAAGTAAAACTACCATCCTGAAGATCACAGATGCGTGACTGCCGTGAATAAACCGCCGCAAGGGCCAGAAATTGTTCCTAGTCCTAGTTAGGCACGAGACCAATTAGGGAATAAAGTCAAAACCCTGCAGGTACATAGTCAGACGTCCCTGACCGCTTCCCATGACATAACTAGCTTCGTTGGCCAGCGTTGTGATGCCATGGACTGGCCCTTGCAAACCCGTGCAACTTTAAAAAACCGACAGGTTACCTATGAGTCCAAGGTGTGTATATATATATATGTTATATGTGTGTGTGTACACACACACACGCACATACTTTGGCATGAAAAACCTTGTGTAGTGTATGTTTTCCTGCGGTTATCATTTAAGACGAGCTTTCCACAGCTGCAGCAAGTCAGCAGGTGATTTCAACGACGGGAATCTCGCTTGGCAAGAGCCAGGTGTAGCTCACAAGTCGCACATCACAATGCTGGTTGAGAGAGCCTTTGGGAGTGCTGACTAAGGGCAAGAAGCCAGCCTGGGAATGCAAGCGGAACTACAACCGGACGTGCCCAGATGGCTTCAACTTTGATGGCGTCATGTGTCACGAGGCCCGCCTCTTGCAAATTTTGTATATTTTTATATAATGTTTGTATATATTTTTTGCATTTTTTTGGACAATGACGTAGGTCTTCAGTGCATCAAAGGGCCTTTCGATTCATCCTGAAATTTGGGGCTTCAGTTTTTTGGGGCTGAGAAAGGTCCTGAAACATGTTTTATCGATTCAACCTTTGTCGATATAGTAGTAATTATTGGACAGATGTAATACAGAGAGGCCAAGACAGACATTGATTTAGTGGAAGCAGGATTCATGGACATACCATGGTCAGCGTTTTGGAAACGGTTGTTTCTCTATTGGCAGCTACAGCTATATACATTGATTGCATTCATGGCTGCGCTGTGTTTTGACGGGCCGCAGCGAATTGAAAGACGTCGGGTATATATCCAGTATTATCCAGTTGTGGAGCCTCCACGTGCAGGATGGAACCTATCTTGGGGCCAATATGTCCCTTGGATGGAATTGGACTGGATGGTGTGAGCCATTCCAGCCCCCAAAGAAGAACTTGCTGTAGTGGCTTACCTTGTAACCTGCCTGCAGCCAAGGAAGAACTGCCATATCCTTAGAATGGTTGCGCGAAGTTGTGTTGTCGTCAAGTATATTTTTGATTATTTTTGGCGAGTGCTGCTGCCACATTTTGATATGCTGCACCTGTACCGGGTTTGGCATAGGTGCGCACTTCGATGCAAGACGCTGGACAGATGAAATGAAAGAAGCGTTTGCTGGTCACTGCCATGTTTGGTGGCCTTGCGTTCAGGCTGGAATAGGCTGCCAAAGCTTTACACGAATGTCATGCAATTTTGGCCTCAGGGTCCAGGACCAGCCAAAGGCATGCCAAATGGGCCTGTCATTCGTGACTTGTTTGCGGTGAGTGGAGGTATTGGCTTTGTTGTTTGAGTTGCCCTTCTTGAGCATGATATACAACAACATGTTTGAGAACATTTGGAGGTCGAAGGCGACTTCCTGAACCCACCATTGAGACAACTGACTGACTTAAAGTCAAACCATGATAGCTGAGAAGCCGCTGCTGATGGATTATCTGGATTGGAGCTGGTGCTGTGGAAGCCAAAGAGAAGCCGAGCCTCGCCAGCCTCGCAGGCACGACGCACGAGAGGGTTGAGGGAGATTACATAATATGATATATATTTAATTTAGATCTATTTAGTGTTTATTGCGACTATATAGATATGTCTATGGGCTTGTCCGTTTTCCTGCACAGCGAACTGGGCGGGTGCCATTTGGCCGGTTTTGGTGCCTTCATTAGCTAGACAGAGCTGAACAGTTGATTGCGCAAGAGTTTGAAGAAGACTTTCAACTTTGCTGGACTGCTTGAAGGTCAGGTGCTTCCTTTAGCCGCTAGCCAATGCTGCAGCGCACTGCAGCGTGCAGTCGGAAAAGTTGCCCAAGAGGAGGAGGGCGAAGAACTCGACCCTTTGGCTCTTGAAGTGATGAAGACTCGGATCCTTCGCACTTCTGGTCGGAACAACAACCGCGCGACTTTTTGCATCGACCCGTTTGTTTGGATCGAGGTCGGCTGCCGCGATTTGTTGGTCGGCGTCGTGGTACAATTTCAACTTTATGAGGCAAGAGGAGAAACGCTAATTGGGTGCAACAGGCGGAATGTCAATCACCAGAGTTGTGGAAACCACATTCATTATACAATAATGATAAAGCAATAATATATCCTCTGTCCCATCCTCCAGGATGATGCTGGCTTGGGCGCGCACAACTGCAGCGTTTGGGATCCGATGTCTTGGAAAGGACTGGCTCCCCTGTTTTTGAGCCTCTTCCTGTGGTGAACGTCCTGAGCTGACTGACGAATTCTAGCCATGTGGCATTCGCTTGGGCCAAACAGACCAAACCTCGCGTTTGCACGGATCACCAACAGATTGCGAACTTGAGCTGACTGCTGGATTCTTGCCCGTCAGGATTTATGACAGGGTTTGGCAAGAAAGGGAGAGGCTGGAAAAGACTGTAGTCACTAAAGACGCTTTCTGCCAACAAAGAGCTTTGAACTCAGATGAAGGTTTTGCCAAAAGGTTGCAGTTCCACCAAAATACTGCACTCGTTCCATTTCGTTCCAGCAAACTCTTCCAGATCTTTGTTGGAGTTTAGGCAATTGTGAGTGGTTTGTCAGGGAAAGGTAAAGGAAAACAGCCAGAAGCCTAGATCATTGATTCGATTTTTGAGTGGTTCAGGTTTGGCCAGTGATGCAAGTCCTTGTCACATAATGACATAATGAAGTGATGCAAGTCCTTTTCACATGTTGAAGCTGAATGTGTCGTTCCCTGTCATCAGACTTTGGGACGGACGTTGAGCTATGAGCTCACAAGAGATCTCGAATCAGAACTGGAGATGGTCTATGTGGACGCATTTGCCAAAGCTCATTCATTGCCACGTCATGGGTCATGGGTCCAAATTGATGCAACGTCAGATGGATCGAAGAACGGTTTATTGACAGAATATGGCAACACCTTTGCATGTTTTACTGTTTTTACTGTTTATATAGCTCTGGGCCCTCTCGTAAATTATCGTAAGTTTAAATCTGCAGTTCAGCAGTGTGTGCTTGACCCCGGTAGATGACTGGGGCCAGGAGGGCTTCATCGAATGTATATAGATTTGAGACAGGTCACATAAAGACAAAGAGGACAAAAAGCGCTCCGATGATGGAGGCAGCCACACCTGACCTGCAGCACAGTGACCCAGAAACCTTTTAATGATCAACCCTTTGGCTGATGTGGTTTGGTTCTTGTTTAGGGGACGTGCTGGAGGTGTTAATCGTATTCAATGCAAGGCGATTTCAGGATACACAGTTATAGGCGGTGAACCTTCTTATTGAGGCAGTGTCTTAGATCTCCCTCAGCAGCTTGATGGTCTGACGGGAGCACAAAGGTTCTGATCATTTGCACTTGTGGCAGGTCCCAAGGAGGCCACCACAGAAGATCCAAACGTGGAGGCAACTCTTCTACTTTCGATTGTGTCATTGCCATTGTGAGATGTAATTATGGCAGACGCTGATTGCACTGCAGCTGGAGTTTCGCGATGAACCACGAACTTTCACACTTGGTGATGGACTGAACAAACAATTGCAAACAATTGCAAGTTTCCCCCCAAACATGTTCAATCATGCAGCGGGGATCTTCGATCGCAACCTCCCCCCGCCCAATAAGGGCGGCAGGAGGCTTTTCCTACCCCCTTGTTTTACACGCAGTCAGTTTCAAAGGCCGAGGGACCTCATTTGAATGTGTTGTATGATGTTTTATGAGATCAAATGTTATATAATGTGTTGTACAACAGGTTTTGTAGGATTTGTATGATGTGTTGTACAAAACTCCTATGATTTGTATGGTGTTTTATGTTAGTTTTGTAGGAACCAAACCATTAAGGCTCCGACACAGGCTTCTTCCGGACCTTCCTTGAAGAAGCCTGAGCGCCGGGATCACTTGGTAGCTACTATAGCTACTACCTACTTAGCAGCCACTACTACCACCCCTCCTGGCCTCAAAACAAAAAAGACACTTAACGGCCTCATGTCCAGCTCTTGAAGCTCAGGACAAAGCGCCTCAAGAAAAGCAGAAAGGCGGCAGAGGCGGTAGCCGCTAGCCTTTTTGTACTGACTAGAGCGTCCAACAGTAGGGTTCCAAAGGGTTCTCCGAAGGAGGAGCGGTAGTGGTTGAGTTAGCACGAACGCTACTGTTGAACTTCGTTGCTAGCTGCGGGACGGGCGTCCTTACAAGGATGGCTCAAAAGCAATGAGCTTGGGACTCACACGCTTCAGTCCAACCTTTGCTTTGGCCAGGGGGGTTCGAAGGCACCCTATTTTTAATGTGACATGAGACATGTGCCAATGGAGGCCTCGGCAAAGACCAAGGCGGCCATGGAAAAGGACCAGGCATGCACCTTTCATCATCTGCACGTCGCCCATTCCACCATGCTTCACATTCGCACGTATCACCCCTTTTTTTCTGGCTAGCAGTGACAAAATCAAGCAGATTCATATTTAATGGACCAACCAATGAGTGGTAGACAAATTGGCCTAGACCTAGAACCGCAGGTGACGGGAAGCGACACTCGGTTGCACTGGCAGACTGGAAATTGGCAAGGAACTTCTAAGAGCGGTAAAATCAGGGAATCCTTGCCATGCTCACCTATCACAAACCTAGATTATATTGCCGGATAGACTATGAATGCTAATTATGGAACAGTCTTGATTTGTAAACAAATCTCGTCGTGATTTTCTCATACTTGACTATCCTGCTCAAAGCAAGGTGCAGCAGGCGCAGGTAGCAACAAGATTCCAGCCGCCCAGGCAGGCAGCGAGCCACATGCCACATTCTCATTCGCATGTTCCTGAGTTTTCCACTGCAGAGTGCAGTCAGTGCTGTCAGGCAAGTGGTCAGAAAGGCAAAGCTGGAAAGGATCGAGGCAAGCGTTGGTCCATTTCCACAGCGGCAGTGGGAGGTTCTGCGGGACAACAGATGGTAGTCTCTATTGCGACTCTATTGCAGTGTGGAGCTTGTCAGGCAAGGGAGGCAAAGGAAAAGATGACAGAGGGAAAGATAGCAAGGGAAACGGTGGAAAGGGAAAGGACAGCAAAGGAAAAGGCGAGGATATTCATACCCAGCCGCACTAATTACTGTAAAACTTTCAGCGCATCTGCCCTCACTTCCGGGAACTGCCGGCTGATGCTTGCATTTTTTCATGTCCAATTGGGTGAATGACATCTCTCAAAGATTTTGGTTCAACCAACTTGATCGTCTTGGCAGGTAAAGGTGCCAGAGATGACAAGAGGTGCGACTTATCGATGCTGTCATTTGCGTCCAACTGTCTCCTGCGCAGTCGACCCCTGGGCAACGTCCCCTTGAACATGGGGGTGCCGAGCCTCAGGTCTTGGATCAATCTTCCGGTTGTTTTCGGCACCAACACAAACAACATCATGTAGTAGAAAAACAATGAAACAACATGATGACACTGATGGCACTGATGGCACCGTTTGATTATTAACAAACAGATCATCAACCGTCTTCGTTAGACTTGCACTTCTACAGATTGTGATCCACAGCCCTACGCTTGCAGAATCCATGTTTGCCTCAAAGCTTTGCCAAGGCGGACATCCCATCAGGTCGGCTGGTCGATGTCCGTTTCCGCTCGACTTCTGTCGAGTTTGCGGCCACAAGTCGACTGCAAGGATGCAACATTTATGCTTACTCAGTCAGCAGTTCCGGCACTAGCACTGCCGTGCACTTCAGAATGATTGGTTCGTTCCATGTTGGTTTTTGTTCAGCTGTGGGTATAAGAAGAGAGCCTTTTTCTTTGAACATTCCGGAGACTTCTTTTGGAGCCTCATGCAGTAGCAACGTGTCCAGGGGCTTTGACCTGGAATCCAGACCCTTCAGGCCTGGACAGCTTCGCCCAAAAAGGGAGACATGTGCGCACGTGTGCGCAGAAGGGATCATTATACAACTATTCGGCATTATTTGGCTCCTGTCATGCTTCACTTTCAGAGAGCAATGCCTTCAGAACTTTGGGTCGCGGCGGTCGCTGGCAGGTATGCTTGGCCGACCAGCCAGGTGTGAATCTTGGCTGGGGTGTGCAACTTGCGTGTGGGATGTAGCATGGTCCTGGTGTCCTGGAATACAATGCTGAGTAATGGGGATATTCAGTTTCATTTCACTCTCGCATTGTTATCGTCTAGGCCACCATAGGCCCATATATCGGTTGCTACTTTGCAAAGTAGTGCAGGACGTGCTTAAAAACACCGCGAAGAAGCCCCAACGGCCCCAATGGCCGAACCGCCCAGGCCCAATGATTCAGGCCAAACACTCAGTGATCACGCTCCGAACGGGGCTGGCGGGGCTCCGGGTGGGGTAAAGCAGTCGAGTCCATGCAAACAGAGGCCATTTCTTTCCAATTGTGAACGATGGCCGTTTGCGAATGCATGCGCTTGAACTCCGAGCCGAGCTCTTTATTTCTATGAGTCTATGACATTATTCTAAAGTCTGGGGGCAGAGTGCCCCCAGCTGTTCACTGCTTCAATCCCGAACCGCACATTCTGCAGCAAGCCTTTGCAAACATGCTTACCATGCCAAATGCAAGACAATTCACGTCTTGGAGTGAACGACATCATATTTGATATCTACCATCTTGATGTGGCCATTCAAGATCCAGTCATTTTTGAACAGATCTATATACTAAATACAGCCGGCAAATGCCTGTTCCGGAAAAAGTGCACCCAAGCCATTGGGAGCTATGCTGGCCAATTTTTCGGGCCTATTGCAATGCACCTTCCGGCTTGGGAGCCCAGTTGGAGACCAACATCTTGAGATGCCATCAATCATGCCATCATCAATCCTTGAAGCTGCTGAGGACCAATGCATGTCGCTTTGCTGAGCGGGGGCCGAAGTTAGTGAAGCCCAAGCAGCTTGGGCTGCAGTTGGCGGACACAAATCAACTGCAATTCATCATTCAACTGCACATGATAGCGGACACAGTCGGACCCAGCCTTCCGCCAGAAGTGGAAGTGCTGAGGCTCATGATCCGGACCTGGAAGATTCGGCCCGGAGATCTAGTGATGGTCATCTCTGGTGGTGACAAGGGCTCGTCAGGAGAGGTGCTCATGATCGACCCTCGGAGAAACATGCTTAAGGTCAAGGACATGAACAAGCGCAAGGCACGCAAACGAATGATAAGGAAATGGAAGGAAGAACAAGCACCTCAAAGCCACAAAACTTTTGCTTCGTGTGCTGTGCTGAGCATGCCTGGAGGTGGTAGACGAGGATGGAAACGCCAAGTTCATCGAGAAAAAGATGCTTGTTTGTAGGGAGTGGTTAGATCATTGCCATTTCAGTCGGGAGGGCAATAGCTTCAAGTTAAATAGATTCGCGCAAACTCCCTCTTATCGAAAGCTGCATTTGCAAACGATAGATTATGATAGATTTAAGAAGTTTTATATAGACATATTTAGCATATATCCTGTCACCAAGCAGTGTGAGCCAAGGGTGTGATGAACATGCATATATTTCCCGTCGCTTCTTCGTTTTGGTGCGCGCAAGGATTCACTATTCGAATGTAGCATTGGTGGACCCGACTAGGGGCCAGGCAACCAGGGTGACGTGGCTTTTGAGAAAAGGAGTGTCCCTTCCACTGTAGCCTTGCAGGATGCATGTGTTTTAGTGTTGTTTCTTCATGCTGTTGAACAAGATCTGTTCATTTCTTGTCCATTTTACACGGTAGTGCAACCACATGTTCTTTGTTTTTGACCTGCTTATTCCCGTCCGAGGTGGGGCTCACCTTCACGGAGGACGGTGATGCCATCCGTGTCTCCAAGCTCACAGGTCACATAATACCTTGGCCAGACCCGCCCAAGAACGAGCTGAAGGAAGAGGACACAGTACAGTGCTTCAATGATATTTGCGGTCGTTGGTGTTGCACTGAAATTTTATGAAACTTTATATTTCCATGATGTAACACAAAGGTAGCAATTTTTGTAGCGAGATTGTTGCGCACAAGGAGCATGAAGAGGGGCCTAAAGATACTCCACCAGAGATTGCATTGCGGAAGACGTACGACTACCACGCAGACAAGGATGCAATGAGACTCGCCCGGCTGACCATGACAAAGTACAACTACAACCGCTGAGTGGGCAAAGATTTCACCATAACTAATGCGAGATCGATTTGTTTCAACCTGGCAGGGCCAGAATTGAGCACGCAGACAGAGTGTTAGACCGGTTTGTTGCAGCGTCTTGCATTGGATTCACTTGACAAATTGGATTCCATTTTTGTGCCACCAAGGCGGCTCTTACATCGTTGAAGAGCTGGGCGCTTGGTTGGGACAATCGGACAGAGGGAGAGGTGCAAATCACATACTCTAAAATCACCATGAAGCTTAAGACTCTTAAGGACCTTCCCTTCAGCAGTGAAATGGTCTTCTCAGTTTTGCTCAGGGAGTGCTTTGGTGAGATCACTGGTGCCTGCTGCACCGCCCGAAAATCCGTTCTCCTGTTATGCAAGGATGCAGCGAAGCATGGCGCAGCCCATGTCCCAGGCCGGAAAGCAAGGGATTTCAACGCTGTGTTGCTGGAATGAGCCCAGAGCACAATGAGGCAGCTCAGCTGAGCCACCACATTTCATTTGCTGCAGCACTATCCCAACACATTGGGTTCCAGTTGCACAGGGATGCGGAGGGATGTATATGATTTTTGATTGACGTGTATAAAGCTTGCTTGAGGACCGCCATCATTCGCCATCCAATCTGGCCAGAAAATATGACCTGGCATTCACCTGGCCTTCTCATTTTGGCTTTGAAAGCATCATTCACGCCAGTGGGCTCATTTCTGACCCAGGCGCTACCTGGTATGGGTGCAGGCGACCTTTGTGGCACTTGTTTGCATGTTCACAATCAACGAGTGTATTGCGATTTTACACCCACATGGGAGTTTATGTATTTTCCCAGTGATGGTGTGAGCATCAAGCATCAAAGAAGAGTGTGGTCAACGTGTTTCAACCACTTGCCGAGATTTCTGGGAAGAACCAGCCTAACAAAAGTCATGTGGGAGAAGCACAAGAATGGGCCAATACATTTGATTGCATTCTGTGTTGAGGCTATGCACACATGCCTGGATTTCTGGAGGCAGGGCGCCACGACCCATTAAGACCAATTCATCCGGCCATAGATGAGTTTTGACGGAAGTGGCGTGCTAGCTGCCTTCAGTTTCAGATCTTTTGCGGGTCCCAGCCTGGGAGGTTGACAACCACAGGTACAAACCTAATGGCAATGGCCTCCAGCCTACTAGCGATGGCCTCCAACCTAATAGCAACAGTACCACGTATGATTTAAAATACTAGCAGCCTATTTCATTCCTCAGAGGTTTCCCTCTACGAGCAGCTGCGTGGTAACCAGACTCTGATGAGAGAGACAAAGAGAGGTGGGTGGAAGAGAGTCCTGGGACAATTTCGAACCTGTGGTGCTATTTGGTTGAGCCTTTGTTGCCGCAGCCATCTGGCAACTCCCTGACCACGCGGATCTTGTGGTCATGGTGCGGATTTGGGTGTTGCTTGTGGGCTTGGTGGTGGCGCTTAGGCCGGGTCTTCTAAATCAGCAGTCCGGAGGAACACAGCCAACAGGATTGTGGGAAGTCCAAGCAGTTGCAGGATTTGCTCGCAAGAGTTTCCTCTGTTGTTGCCATATACTGTACTATCATAAACCGGTTCTTGTGCTGTGATGTCGAGTTCCCAGACTACAGGGCAGCTTGACATCTACAGCAATTCTCTTCATTTGTCATTGCCTTCAGGCTTGCCCCAGCTTTCATCCCCACCGCTGGTGTCGCTCCAAAGCTTGCACCTGGAGCCTTTGCACCACCTCGAGCAGCAGAAGCGCGGCAGGTGCAGGCTGGAAAAGATGTATCCAGAATTCAACTCGAGTTTGTTCATCAAATCAATCAGTATCAACATTTTATATATTGAACATCAGCCTGACTAACTTTAACAACAGAATCTTGGAAGTTCCAAAACAGTAGAAATGCTTTGAGAGTTGAGCTTTCCTGTTGAATAGTTTGGATTGGGTCTCAGGATAGCAAGGGTGCCCTCGCTGCTGCTGTGCTTGGCCTTGCAGCCGTTGTTTGCAAGGCCTGACCATGTTTGAGTGACACTGCATTGCACTGAAGGAGAGATGCGATCCCGCCAGGCGCGTCCCAGCGCCAACCGCCAGGGCCGCCAGGGCTTTGAGATCACTGTGGTAGCACCCGAGTCACCTGCACTGGCGGGTGGATCTGTGAGTGGCTTGCCTCGGAGTTTCATCGAAAACGCACATCTCCACATCCCATTCTCTCACCTTGACAACTCATATGGTTTTATCAAGGTGTTCAGTTTTATATAACATGTTTCAACATGTTTCAACTTTCAATGGGTCGTGGTGGATGCAAGAGCACGCGACGCTGAGGCCAAAGTGAGAGCAAACCCAGCCGTGGCAAAGTGGCCAGACGCAGTCTCTACAGCTGCTACACTCTTTACTTCCGTCGCTGGCGCTACTATGAGGAAAGATTGCCAAGCTCTTGGGAAGTATGGTGATGGAAGTTGGATAGTTTGGCCAGGTGTTTGTGACTCACGGAATCAAAACGAAAGCAGGTCTGAAGATCTTATCTGGGATCTGGCGAGTCAGTCTTAGCTTGTGTGTGCGTTTTTTGGGCGGAGCTCAAGTGAGCAGCGTCAAAGACCTCCATGTAAGGTTTTATCACGGTGTTGTCCTCCAAAACCTTAAGCTGGGGCGCGAAAGGTCTGAGAAAGGTTCGCGACAGTTTCGCTTTAGATGGAGTTTGCGAAAGGGCTCGCGAAAGATTCTTTTTGAATGGGTCATGTTAGCACTTAGCTTTCCTTTTGTGACTGTTCCAGGCTCGCTTCCAAAGGTTCAACTAGATGTCGCAACCGCCCTTGCCTTCCACATGTGGTGCTCGCAGCTGCTGTTGGGCCAGCCTGCCGCCCAAGTGCAGCAGCGCGCGAACCCTCCTCCCTCCCACCCTTGGATATTTGTTCAGATCTTGTCCTTGCAGCTTTGAGGAAGCTTTGGCTTGGCAGATGAAAGCTGCCTCTTTTGCAAAACCCCGCCCACCCTCAGCTCCCCTGATTTGGTCCAAGTGCCTGCCCTGGAGTTTGGTGGCCTGCCAGCCTTGCAGGGTGGTACCTGCAAGGCTCGCTTGGCCTGGTGTGTCGACCATTGCACGGAAAAAAGGGTGCAAGGGGAGTGGGGTGGGTTGGACGTGAAGCTGAAACAGGTGAATGGATACAGTCAACTTGTGTGCTCCCAAAGGATCAAGAACGGGGTTAGGCAGGTTCATCTCAACATTCACTAAACAACCAAGGCAAGCAACACCAGGTAAACAAGAACGAACCAAGAAAGCCCAAGCAAACTCGGCAAAATCCGCGAAAGGCTCGCGAAAGGTTCGCGAATGCGGCGCGAAAGGCGAACTGCTCAAATCAGCCCTTGTGTCCATAGGTTCGACTTTCGACTTGGAAAGCCCGAGCACCAAGTATGTCCAGGAAGGCCTTGTCACTTCGAAGGTTTGCAGCTAAGAGAAGAAGACGGCTGAAGGAAATTTGCCGTGCAGATGCCTCCTCTTCATCTTCGTCCACGGACTCTGAATCTAACGCATTGTTTGCCTCAACGCAATCTGCTTAAAAGGTTGCGCAGCCATTAGAGAACCAGCTTAGAGGGGGAGGGCCAACCATTTATTTTGTTTTATGCGCAGTCCCCAAACATAAAACAAAGGATATGATGACCCCCGCCAACCGCGAAAGGCGTGCAAAGGCTTCCGCAAAAGGGCTGTAGGAACACAAAGCCGTTTCCAAGAGGCTTTCGCCATCGCTCAAGTGTTTTCGGATAGCTTGGTTCCTGACACATCCTGGTACTGATTTTCAGGATCCGAGACCATGCTGGTTTCTTCGTTGATGCTAACAGCCTTGCTCGCAGGATCGTGCTCGTCGCAATCTTCGAAATCGTGCGTACAACATTTTCATGAAGAACCTTCGTTTTTAGTTTGGCAACCTTTTTCTTGGATATGATTGGAGAATCGGACATGAAGCATTTAGTTTAGATTGTTTGTTGAAGGCTGCGCATGTGGGGTCAAGTATGACTTTTGTCATCGGTTGCCAACAACTTGGATTCTCCCAGGAACCGGTATAAGAAGGCTATGAAGAAGGTGCTGCGGTATTGTGCAGAGCTGGAATTTGACGACAAGCAGCCGGATAGCTTCCAACAAGTCATGGACGAAGTCAAGGATATGCTAGATGAGGCACCTGCGGGGAAGCTGTTGCAAAATCAAGCAATCCTTGCATGCAGCACGGTAGAAGCTTGAAACGTAGTGGCTGCTTGTTTCAAGCGATGTCAGCTACATTGTAGATTTAAAATTGCTAATAAAATATATAGATTATTTTGGGGGGGTCTGTCCTACTACCTGTAACAATCAGTAAAAAATGATCACCATTTTTTGACCAGGCCTCTACTAACCATCATCATCCACTGTTACAGGTAGTAGGGTAGACCCAAATTGTATATATTATTATGTATGTACATTAAAGTACATTATAAAATAGAACAAAATCCACACCCCCCATCCCTACAAAATTGGAGGGGGGACCTGCGAAATTGTAAGTTACAATTTATGCATTGGGGAGGGAGGGGGGTCAAAGAATTGTATATAACTTACAATTGCGCAGGCCCGGAATGAAGATGGCCCTGAGAAGGCGCATGTCATCCTCATGTCAGCTATAAGTCTTGGCGTGTGGGCTTTCGGAGAAAGCTGGAAAGCTGAGCTGTCAGGAGTGCCCGATAAGGACATTCACTCTGCCCCGGCACAGAAAAAAGACACATGTGGGGCCAATGTGGGGGTTAGAAAGTAAGTTAAGTTACAATGTAGCAGAAAGGCGTCAAGAAAGTGAAACCTCAAGAAATGTAAGCTACATTTTTGGACGCCCGTAAACCGGTGGTATGCGTGGTATGCACTTTGAAATTGTAAGGCGACATATAGAATCTACAGACCTAGAGATGCATATGGGAAACAACAGTCAATAAAGTGTCCATGCCAGGCCCCTACGATCGAATGGCAACTGAGAAGGAAGGAGGATATAAAGAAAGAAACCAGCAGTAAAATGCAATAGCAGATTCTCATGAGCAGCTCTGTCAGGAAGCGGGTAAGCACGCTGGGGCATTGGTATCCAGGAAGAATGAAAGAAAAACAGAAAGAACAGGAAGAGAAGGAAGAAATGTCTACAAGAAAAAAGGTGAAAATACGGAAACGCGTTAAGAAAATGGAACCTTCAAACATGTAAGCTACATTTTGGGCCGCCCGTAAACCCGTAAACCGGTGGTATGCACCTAGAAATTGAAGGTGAGGGGGTCGCTTCGGAACGCAGAAATTAGTTCGCTTCGGAACGCGGGAACGGTATCGCTTCGGAACGCGTGTCAGAGCTAGTAGGTTGGAGGCCATCGCTACGACTAGGAAGGCCATCGCTATAGTAGATTCGAGGATTTGTAACCAGTAGCAAGATGCCTACGAATGCCCACGGTTGTGTTATATTGTTTTATCCAAGCTGTCCAGATGCCCAACATCAGTATTTGCTGGTGAACGAGATAGGGCGCCCACAAAGAACGAGATACTTTTTTGGTTTGCAAGGAGAACGAGAGGACATGCTCTGTATTGGAAATCCGCCGGCCTGCCGGCGTGTTTTGTGGATTGTTTCGGTTAGTATTGCTTGTGTTGGTTTCAATCTACGGTTTGTCTCTCCGCGCGGAGTTTTCGACAGCCTGACGCCCCCCCCCCCCTGTAGGTAGTGGTGGTGGTAGTAGTAGTAGCAGTAGTAGCAGCAGTAGTAGTAGGTAGTAGGTAGTACGTAGTAGGTAGTAGGTTGGACTGTAGGTAGTGGTGGTGGTAGTAGTAGTAGTAGCAGCAGTAGTAGGTAGTACGTAGTAGGTAGTAGGTTGGACTGTAGGTAGTAGTAGTAGTAGCAGTAGTAGGTAGTAGGTAGTAGGTAGTAGGTGGTACGTAGTAGGTAGTAGGTAGTAGGTCGCTGGATCAGAATAGACAACCATTGGACTGAGACATGTCGATCGCTGGATCAGAATAGACAACCTCTGATTCGGATTCGTTCCATTTCAGTGTAAAAACGACTTCGCTTGAAATCAACAGCAACAAACTCTCCCAGCAAAATGTGCAACTCCAATGCACCCACAAGTCTGATTGAGCAGGGTATTGTTGTTCGATGTCATTCTGGGTCTTTCATCGGTTTGGAGAAAAAAACGACAAATCATGCCAGATCTAGAAATTCTTCGGTCGCTTTGAAGCCTTCTGTGTGTGAAAAAGAATATCTGGTGCGTGTCGCAATCCCTCGAGACGGTCGAAAAAAAGATCTGAAAAGGAAAACATGCACACGGCCAAGTAGTTTGGAAAAAGAATCGTTTTCAAGGTCATGTTTTGTGGATAGTCTTGGTTCGCATTGCTTGTGTTGGTTTCACTTGGTTCCTCTTAGGTGATTCGACTGAGACATGCCGGTTCGGATCGCTGGATCAGAATAGACAACCTCTGATTCGGATTCGTTCCATTTCATGGTCAAACAACCTTGAAATAAACATCAACAAACTCACCCAGCCAAATGTGCACCTCCAATTCACCAACAAGTATGATTGAGCAGGGTATTGTATCATTAAGCTGCCTGCCAATGCGGGCTCGAGCTGGTGGCCGGCGGCATGCCGAAGGCTGTAAATATATTTCGCCGCTCGTGTGATTTTTCAGCTGGCTCTAGAGCCATGGTGAAGCGCTTGTTGAAGCGACCTTCAGTGGCTGCTTCCACGGTGCTGTATGCTGGAGCTCCACTGACACGGATGCATCCCTGCTAGGTTTCGTCGCCCACCCTCTGCCTCAAGTTCAGACAATTGTACGAACCCGCTCTTTGAGTTTGCACGGCAGAAGTGTGCTTTGAAAGGCCATCAAAACGTGTGTGTGTGTGAAGATGTTGACCTTGTCCAATCTGGCAACCCTTTCAGCACTTCAGAGTCGCACTGTCTGGTTGCTAACTGCAACCCACCCCCCCCCCC